GTTACATTAATTATAAAATTTAAAGCTGGCGAAACGTGGAAGAACATTGCTTGTTTTAAAACTTTTTTGATGAGGTTGCTTGAATTGTTTAGTTTCTGTTGGATCATTTATTCAAAATCTTTATGAAACAATTTTTGCCAACAACTTATCTTCATAGCACTCATTTTGCTCTCCTGAAAACCGGCAGCTCATATTGATTGCGATTCGGATCACGCTGCGATTGACAATATTTGACCACAAGTATAAGGGCCGGCGGGTGCAAATCCTTTATATGCTTCATCAATATCCGCCCTTCTTTGCTCAATCCCCGTTCGGCGGATTATACCCTTGACTGCGGATAAAGTTGTATGGCTTAGCAAACAGCCGTGGATGTGCAGATGCGGTCTGCTCGAAATAAGAGCGAGAAGTAATTGTTGTGCCGTCGAGAATAATGGCGGGCGTCAAAGCGGCTCGACCTCCGCCAGCATTGAATACTTTTCTCGGTACTCTCTTGCGGTGGTACACCCGCGCGAGTGCGTGCTTTACTGCACTAATATAACTCTCCCTCCGTGAAAATGCTGCGGTTGTCCTTGAGAAAGTATGGGCTGTTGTATAATTATTGCCTTTGTTTGCTCATTCAACTCAACTCGGTTAACCATCAGTGCATAGATTTAAACAAAAACAAGTTTTTTCAGTTTGAAATCAGAATTTTTTGAATATCTATTTTTTGTTTAAAGGAAGTAAAACTATTTTTCGCTGGATAACAAATAAAACTTGATTAATTTTATCATCTTTTATCATTTTGTTTTGATAAAAGTATGCAACCCGTTGAACTAATGAAAAAGTTGACTTACAATTAGAAAAATTCTCTCCCTTAAAGAAGGCTAGCAACATAATTTGGGTCATTGATTTATTTTGATAGTCATCAAATAAAAATTAAAATAAATTGTTCCAAATAATAAGAAATTATTAAATATATTTTGTAAATATTTAACATAAATTTTAAAGAATATAGATCAATTTGCAAAAAAGAACAAACAAATTGAGGGTTTCAAAAATTTAATTAAACCTCATAGTGTTGCAAAAAATATTTTTTCAAAAGAAATATCGAAGTAAATTAGCTAAAATTATAATCATATGTTAATTAAAATAAGTAAAAAAAACTCCATTTGGAAATTCATTTTATTTTTTTATTTTTGCAAACGAATGTTGCATGTTGCTGAAATAAATAGCACCTTCTAAAGATAGGTTTTGAATTATTTTCTCCCAATTTGTTTTCGTTCCAAACCAAATCGAAACTGCCTTTGCAAGTCAAATTCGACAAAGAAAGTGAATCCATCTTCTGTTTGATGTTTCGCAAAAGTCTCGTTTGCTGCGGAACTTGCAATTTTTTTCGCGCTCATCTCTCCCTGAAAAATCACTTTCCCGGCGACGCACGTTCCGGATGACAACAGCTTTATCTCTTTTTTGTTCTCGGGCTGCACGCAAAGCAGACACCCGAGCCTCTCTGCGAAACGCTACTAGATTTTCCGTGCATACGTTTTTGTGCTGATCTGCCGCGAATTATTGGCGCCTGGCCGGCGAGCATGAAACGAATTTGGCGAGCCGGCAGCGCAACCGCTCGTTATGCGGCGCCCTCGTTCCTCGTCGATATCGCAATAATTTTTCTGCAGCGCTGCCGAGACAGATCTCGTCAGCAGTACTTGATCTGATCTATATTTTTCTCACAGCTCCCTTCCCACACGAAGAATGGCAAAGAAGAAAAGGAGGATTTAGGTTAAGGAACCATTCATTCGATGCGGCAAATTTTTCAATTATATATTTTGGAACCGAAACCAAAGGAGCTGAATAATGTTTATTTTATTTCTGATTTTTTATAACTGAGTCAATATTTTGTTAATCAACTGTTAAATCTGGCCAAAAATTATAAAATTAGGAACAAAATGAAGGATTTTACTGTAGAAAGTAGTAAAAAAATTATAGTTCAAACCTCAGATGGGGATTCTGGTACAATTTACTGAAAATGATAATTGTTTTAAATAAATTAATGAACTAAACTTGAATTTCTGTGATTGCAATTTTTTTCATGGGAATAATCACCAATAATTGCATTTTTTTTTCGATTCAAATTTCTCCCATTAATTCAGGAGATTTTCTTTTTTGCTCAAGTTTCATAACAATTTCTTTGTATTGAAGAAATAGCTGTTTTCAATATAATGGATTTTACAAAACCAACACAATTTTCGTTGCAAATAATGACAATCTGCACCCTAAGCACCCTCGTGCTTATCGCATTTGTACCGAGGGAGGCGAAACTGCTTCTGTCACTTTCTTGCTGGCAAAAGCCGTAAAATAAATTACGCGCCCCCCAGTATAGCAGCCATAACAGAGGTGCGTAAGTGGCTTTTCTGATAAATATTTAAAGCTAATCGCGACCAACGTAAGTGAAAAGAAGTGGAGCTCTCGACTCACAAGCAAATGGTTTGGGAATAACGACGTTCAAACGGCTCCCTTTGATCGGTTTTACGAGGTGCTGTTCTGCGTTTTCGCGCGGGAGGGTTATTGCTGCAGCGGCAGTTTGGCGCGTTAATTCGCTCTTGGGGTTTCATTTAACAAAACTCATTAGCCTCCAAGCCGCGGCAATGATGTGCATGAACAATATACACGCATAGCCTTGGATTTGTGCAGGGATATCGCTTGGTTAATTAGCACCAATATGGGTTCAAAAATAAACAAAATTTATCAATACATAATGATCATTAATAACCCTAATGAAGTTGTGAAATTGGCTTTAACTGCACTCATCCATGTTTTTGTAATCTTGATATCTAAATGATATCTAAAATCTTACGACTAAAAACTGCTGTCAAAAAAATTTTGCAAATTTTTTCAACTTTTAGCAATTAAAATACTTTTGGCGGGAAAAGTTGATGAACTGCGAATTTTTGAACGCAATTTCGAATAAATCATGAAATGTTGTCTACGTTTGAATTCAAGAATATAAACCATTTCTAGAGGGGCCATTGAAGCATAAATTTTCGTTATGGCTGTTAAAAAACTAATAACAGAAGATGCCAACTGCAGCAGACTTTATCATTGATCCTTTTTTTCTGGCACAGCCGCCTTTTAAAAAGTTGGTCCAGATAAAATTTTATCTGCATGACAAGAAAAAGCACCGGCAGCAGACAGCCCTAACGATTCGTGGACATCAAGAACTTTTTCCTCCTCAGTTTCTGCAGCTCTTTAAGGGGTGACGTCACCTTTTCCGGCCGACGGCGCCCAGGGTGCCAGTCCGACGCCAATCGCGCTCTGCTTGCTGCGTCCATCCATTAATTTGGACCGTGTTGTATAATGGGGTGGTCGGCAGCGCGTGCCAGCAGTCCGGTCGGGAATCGGGCGTATCTTTTTGGAAACACAAACGCATAATATAAATTGGAGCAATGTTACAGAGAGTCACTCCACTTTGATTAAAATCACAAGCCTGCTGGGTTGGAGCAAAAAAGCATTGAATTTCGAGTAAATACTCGAACGTTTGATCTTGTGCATTGATTTTTCTTTCTAACTGGTTAATTTTTAGATATTATAAATACTAATTATTATTTTATAATTTTTTAAACAATAAAGGATTGATGTAAAAAATCTGTCAAAATTTTTTCTGAATTGTGCGGAATCAGCCAAATTTAATATTTGAAATTCAAGCGCTCTGATAATTTCAAAATCTTCGACTGGATTACGGTCAAGTAAGCAACTGAAGAGGAGAGTTGAGTTTTTAAAAATCTAAGTTCTTCCTTAGTTTTGTCAATATTTATATGAACGATTGTAGAAGTGAATTGTGTGCTATTGTGTGATTTTCCAAATCGTCGTTTCACCCTTTTAATTATCTGGAGCAACACTTTTAATATTCTAACAATATTAACCCTTTTAAATTCACGAAGACCTCGCTATTGATTCACTATTTGAACATTAACCTGTTTTTGTCAGAAATTTAGTTTTCTTTATAAAATACGCGTCAGCTGCATTTACTTTTTTTCACTGTTCAAAACACAATATTTGCCACTCTGTAATGCCTAAAACATATGCGAACCAAAATTTCAATTGATATTCTGTTTATATTATTAAAATATTTGGATAGTCGTTCCGATCACTGAATTAGGTTTAAATATTTCAGTGTGATTCAATAATTAAAGTGTAAAATTTAATTTTGGACCGCTTCATTTTTAACGAGGGGTGTTAATTTAACAAAAATTGTACTGGAGCAACCTATTCAATTAATATTCTAACTTTATTTTTTCCCTGCATTCACGTTGAAATCTCAATTGATTTGTTGTTCAATGACTGACCTCTTTTTTAAAAATTTCTCAATTTTTTCCATAATCGCCTCCTGTCGAAATTAAAGATTTTCGTAGATCAAAATACAATGTTCGCAACTGAAAAATGCCAAAAACATGTGTGAATAAAAATTTCCATTGATACTGTTTTTATAAGGGTGAAATAAAAGAATAGTCAAGCAGGTCTCTGAATAGGGTTTAGATATTCAGTCCAGTAAGAAACTTAAAAGCTGAATCTATCGAATAAAATTTTAACAAATTGACGATGCATCTGAAATTTAGTCCAGCGACCTTAAGAGCCAATCGATTTTCAAAAATGTTGTGCCTTCATTTAGCTTGATATCAGTCCATATGAATGATTTTAGAAGTGAATTGATAGCATTTTAACTCAAAATAATTTATATTTTTCACGTTTAACGTTTTACGTTTAATTTAAAAATAGTGGTAAATCATCCAAGATCAGTCTTGCATAATTGTTTTTTTTTAGGCCCTTTAGTTGCCTGAATAAAGTCAAGTTATTCTACATGAATTGAAACTGAACCCTCGACCATCTCAATAGATTGGGGGAGGGAGCTTCAAAGCCTAGGAAACTACTCTTTAGTCTGAAAATAGACACGGAATATTTGCGTTTAGACATTGATTGATTGGTTTGGGGGCGCGAACTCATGCAAGTGTGTGTCTTTCTTTTCGCAGAGTGACCAGGAGGGCTGCTGATGAATTCCCGTGGGCTCATTAGGCCGCTGCCGCCCTTCTTCTCGAGCCAACCCAACTAGCACAACCAGCAGGTAGGTGGATCGATTTGCGAGATTTTCAGGCCGAGATGCCAATTACACATTTGTGCACCCCCGCGGGGTGCGAATCGCGTTAATTTGACTCCACATGTGCGCGTCCGAAACGGAAAATGCATGAACGCACTGCCGCCTTTCATCGGCCAATCACTGTCGGGCTGATTTATTTCTGGCGTCACTCGCCGACCAGATTGAAATGGTCCGGCTATTTCAGCCCCACAGCCATACATTTCTGGCGACGAGTGAAATATGGGGACGACGTTTCCACCGCGATTTCGACGCTAAACATGGTGACGTAAACAGAAAACTAAAGAAAATTTGTAAAATATTACCTTCGATTTTGATTTATTTGAATTTTTCATTTTTAAATCAACCAGTTAAAATTTTATTCTTTTCAGAATCTGTTAAGTAAAACTGAAAAGAAATTTTTGTAAGGGGTTTGGATTATCCAACCAAAACTAAATTTTATCTTCAATATTAATTTGATTTAGTTGATCTTTTAATTCGTATAGTGGCGGTGATGCTTGTAAACCAAACTCTCAGAATGAGAAAACGGGAAAACAAGTTAAACATTTATGGTTCATTTGGGGTTGGTTTTCGACTTTATATTTCTTGGTTTTGACATGGATTTGAAAATTTTTATTTAAAAAAAATCAATAATAATAATAATTATTATTATTATTATTATGATAATTATGAAACGTCAAAGATTTCATTGGTTTAACATTTAGTTACAGTAATTACAGTTCAAAAAAATTGACGGAAATTATTGTTTTTCTGATCCGTTTTAAATTTCCATGATTAATTAAACAAAATTAAAATTCGAACCACAGAAAAAAAGAGTAAAATCTGATCTTTCAAAACGTTAAAACATTACAATTTTCCAGTAAGGAAATAAAATCGAAAAAATTAATATTTTTTGTTTTCTACAATTTGATTTGATTTTGAAACCACGTGATGCTCAAACAATCGCTCATCACTGGAGTTTCACTGTATTGCCAATGTCAAGTGCATCGATCATATTTCCACATCAGTTCACTTGGGTGCTCTCAATTCTGCTCTATGTCGTTCGATCCGCGCGAGACAAAAGCCGTCATCATCGCAGCATTTAGCACGCGGCCAGCGCTCCTCCTAAGGAACACACACACACACACACATTCATTGATCCCCAGCGAGTTGAAAACCAAGCTTGCCAGAACAAAGGCGGCATCAATAATTCTCGTCGCAATTTCGCATCTCTGCGGGGACAGATCTCGTCTCCGCAGCAGCCGCATTTCATTCGGTCATTAAAATTCTGCGGTCGCGTGACGTCAAATCGAACAAGCCAAATATTTCGCATTCCGTAAACTCTCGTGTCCGACGCCACGGAGGAAAAGAAAGGGAAACGCGCCCGGCTTGGTGTGAAGAGCCCTCTCTTTATCCCGGGCTGAAAGTGCATTAACTTTGAGGGCTTAGTCGAGTGTGCCGGCTTTCGCAAAAAAAAATCGTCACGAGAGCAGCTCGGGATTATTCACGATTGAGAACCAGGAAAAAAATTTATTCCACAGGGAAATCATTTCGGGGTGAAGTGTATTTAAATTGTGAATTTGTGTGTTTCGTCTCTGGAGGAAGATAAATAAAAGCTGGAAAATGAAACATTCAGTGTTGTCGGATGTTAAATTTTTGTAATGAATAGAGTAAAAAAATTAAAAAAAAGGTTCATGATTCACATATGAAATTGCAAATTAGTGAATTTTTGTCACATTTACATTTACACATTAAGAAATTTATTAAATTTCCTCTGGTTTGATCAATAAAAAATGAGAGAAATTTAAATATTCAAGCTTGTAAATTATAAAAAAAAATCAAAAACGATTTCAATGACTACATTTTATGATTTTTTCTGTTTAAAGTGTTTAAAATTTTGAATTGACAAATTAATATGGATTGAATAGCAACAATTGAATTATAATTTTGCCAATGAACATGCTTTTGACCAAAATTTATATAAAAAATTGTTTATAAACACTTTTTTCCCACATTTTATCCAACTTAATTTGAAAATCGAAGAATTTTTCTCTTTTTTCTTTTCTTTTGCAATTCATACTTTTTCTACTTTTCCCACGAGTTGGTTGACATTTTGGAGAGCGCAGAACTGATTCACTTCCGACGTGCTTGGAGCAAAGTTTCGCAGACGAGGGTCCGTAATTGGCCCTATTCAAATCAACTCGGCCTGATTGAATAAAGCACCCTCTCCTTGCAGAATGTGTGTGTTATGGGACGGGGTTCACCTTGGAAGTCGAGAGAGAGCAGAGGAGGAAGCTCTTCTCTATAAATTGCGCGAAACGAAATTACACCTTCCTGCGGTTCTTCGCGCAGCCAATAACCTGTTGCGTAAGACGTGACGTTGAGAGCGCGGGTCAAAGGTGACCAAGAGGGAAAAAAACTTTTGCTGCGCCAAATCTTTGACTTTATGGATTTCTTTCCCTTTCCTTGCCATTTTCCGCCGGCTGCATTGTGTCGCTGCTGCTCTTTGTCAAAAGGAGGAAAAATCGATTCCAAGCAGCCACTTCATTCCGCAGAGTGAATGCAAACCGCACTACTCGAGTCGAAAAACGTCGCGTTGTTGCAAAATGGATGTGCCGCTCTTTTCAGCAGCCCCTTTCTTTCTTTGTTTGCTCTCGGCGGGCGTAATCACCGGCGAAGACGCTGCTGTTTATGGGGGACAAGCAGGAGAAGAGGCACGCGTTGCCACCAGCCGTGTTTGCATAATGACGTGGGCAACAAATTATTTTATGATTTTCGGACTATCCCGACAAAATTGAAGAATTATTCAAATTTTCTTATTATTGTTATTTATTTATTCTTCTCGGTCAATACAAACATTTTAAATTGGAGAAAAAAGAAGAGAAGAAAGGGTTTTTCTGCCTTGTTTGTTTTCGAAAGCTGTGCACCCTCTTCTCTAGAAACATTTTCCTTGAATTTTATTATATCTATTTTTTCATAATAGTCGCGTGTTGCGTTTCTAAAAGTTCCTTACTAGTTAGTCAATTTTGCAGTATCCTAAATTGAAAATAATTAAATATTGTTTAATTCATTTGAAGCTGAATAGAACATTTACTTCCTATCTAGTAAAATTTATCAAATAAAATGTATTTGATCAATCTTTGTGAGATAATCAAAATATAATAAAGTGAATTAAAATTTTCTTTCAAAGTTTATTAGAGACATACTAATCAATTCAATACATATTTCTAGATCCATATTTGAAGGTTGCTGCAAAATATGGCAAAAGTTGGTCTTTAATATTTTAATTAAATTATTTTATTTTCCTGTAAATACCAGATAAAATTCTTTAGATTTTTGAGAGAAAAAATTAACAATTTTGAATAATTGTTGTTATTTTTTTAAATAAGCTGTGCTCATTTTTAGGTGCAAAATAAATTTAGGGCAAACATTTATCGCCGCTGTATTGATTTATGCATTCGACCTTCCAGTGCGGGCGAGCACCAAAACATATTTCAATAATTGTAATGGTTCCCAAAATAAATAGCGGCGACCAACACAAACATGCGATTGCATGCAGGGCGAGGACAAAGACGGCGCCCAAGACAATGGCTCAGGATTAAAGCGAGATAGAAACCACGGGCGCAGTACAAGTATCTTGCACACACACACACCCCGTGTGCGGCCGTAATAAATTTCTGTGGCTGCTGCCGCATATCGATTTTCGCACATGCACACGGTGTTGGTATGATAATTCGGTGCGTGCTTGGCGCCACGGCTGCTACACAACACATGCATTAGTTGGCTTGATAAACGATGTGTCGTTAAAAGCGGGCACGCAACACTATTTACCGCTCAAAGTTTTCGTTTCTAGTTTCTGTTTGCTTATCGTTTTAGTCGGAAAACGCTTGATTGGCTACTAATTAGGAGCGAGGATGACGCTTATCGCGGACCAATTAAAATTCCAAAGAAATAAACAAACTTGGATTTTTTATCACGCTTCCTTGGATCTTTTCAAAAATTTATTTCCCTTTGATCGTCAATTTATATTTAGAATGCTGAGACATTCTGATTGGAATTGGGAGAAAATTAAAAGTTTGTTCAGGCGTTTTGTATTCAGAAATTAATATCCAAGTTCTTCTTTAGCCACTGAAGTCTAAAGAAAAAAAAATTAAATAAGATGCAAAAATTTAACTTTTTAATGCAATTATTTTGTAACGGTGCAGAAATTTATATTTTAAATTTAATTAAGAAATTTTAAAAGTTCTAATTTTTCCAGCCTGTGAGTTTAACTTTTGTAATTTTTTGTACAGTTCAAAGAGCCCAATTTGCAAATTAGATTAAAACCACCCCTGTGAGCGCACGGCAGGGTTGAACGCGTGCGTGACGTCAAAGGCTAATGTCATTTCGGTGCCTCTGCTGTCCCAGACCGGTGCTCCTTTTTTACGCGCTTTGGACACCAGGACCAATTTAGCCCTGCGTTTCAACACAATAAATCTGAAGTGATCAATCGACCCTGTCGGCCTCCGGTCGCTCCCAAACTGCGGAACATATTTTTCGTCCGCTCTTTTTATCTCGAGAGATGCCAAGGAAATTTGTTCTTGGCTAAATTAAGTGGAGCTAGATAAAGTTGCGTTTGGATTCGAGTCGGCTGCTCCCTTGAGATGCTGCGGCATCTAATTTGGAGAAGAAGCCTCTCCACTCGAAAAGAAGCGGCGGCGGCGTGTTTGAGGCCAGATTGTCGTCTTGTGCAATATTCGACTCTTAATTAGTCTTGGGCCTGCCTTTTCGGCGCAGGCTTAAATTGACAATAAATTCCACAAAACGCCAATCTTAACACAAATTTGTTAGAAATAAGTAAAAATTGAATGTTTTTTTTTAAAGTTATGTTTGATATAAAAAGCTATAAAACAGTATAAAATTTCTAAAAATCAGTCAAATTGGAAAATTTTCATTTCACCCATAATCAATAATTTTAAATAACCAGTTTTTTTTTACTTCTTTTTAATAAT